TAAATTTTGAAAAACAAAAGAAAAAAGAAAAGGCACATATGAAAAAACAAAATTTAAAAAAAAAAAAACAGCTCACCAGGTGCTGCCTCCTTCAAGCAGGATTAGAAAATCTCCCTCAACCAGTGTCCTGCCAGTAGCAGGACATGTAGACATAGACCCCTGCAACTTTCAACCTAACAAAACCCTCCAAACCTCAAGTTTCCAGGATAAGACAAAGACAGTAAAAAAAAAAAAAAAAAAATTTATGAAAAGGCAAATGGTAGTTTTCTTACATCCAAACAAACCCATAACAAACCCAAAATAAAAGAGTGAAAGTGACAGGGACTGCTTTCATTCTGTAGATTGTTTTCTTCTTCTTCTTTTTTTTTTTTTTTTCTTTTTGAGATAGAGTCTTACTCTGTCACCCAGGCTGGAGTGCAGTGGTGCGATCTCGGCTCACTGCAACCCCTGCCTCTCAAATTCAAGCGATTCTCCTGCCTCAGCCTCCCGAGTAGCTGGGATTACAGGCACATGTCAACACACCCGGTTAATTTTTGTATTTTTAGTAGAGACAGGGTTTCACCATGTTGGCCAGGCTAGTCACAAATTCCTGACCTCAGGTGATCCACCCACCTCAGCCTCCCAAAATGCCAGGATTATAGGCATGAGCCACCACACCCGGCCTGTAGATTGCTTCTTCAGTGTCTATAATGTATCAGGCGTGTAACTAGGTGCTGGAATATAACAAGCCACAAAGCAGACCTGGCCTCCGCTCATGGGGCCTGCAGAGTACCTGGGAAGAGAGGCAAGTGAGTGAGCATTTGCTATACAGTGACAAGTTTGCAGATGCGGGAACTCCAAGGAGGATGAGAACTCACAGCAGAAACACCTAAACTAGTCCAGAAGCTACAGGGTAGCCAGGAAAAGCCTGACTTAGGTAGGGACCTGAGGATGCATGGCACTATGGAGGAAAGAAAGGCAGAGACAATAGTATAATAAGTGTTTAGAGATGAGGAAATACGTTTGTTTTCCTTAAAATGTGGGTGTTTTCTCATGCACCATGTTGGAAAGGTTTCTGCACATACAAAGAGTCAAAACGTAGAAGAAAAAGTGTTTCACATCGCTAATCACTGGGGAAATGCAAATCCAAACCACAATGAGATAACACTTCATAAAATGGCTACTATCAAAAAGACAAAAAGCAACCATTGCTGGTGAGGACACAAAGAAAAAGGAACTGTCGTACACTGTTGGTGGGACTGTAAATTACTACAGCCATTATGGGAAACAGTATGGTGATTCCTTAAAAAACCAAAAATAGAACTACCATATGATCCAATAATCCCACTACTGGGGATATATCCCAAAGAAAGGGAATCAATTAAAGAGATATTTGCACTCCCATGTCTATTATAGCACTATTCACGATAGCCAAGATAAGGAATCGACCTAAGTGTCCATCAGTAGATAAAGAAAATGTGGTATACGGCTGGGTGCAGTTACTCATGCCTGTAATCCCAGCACTTTGGGAGGCCAAGGCGGGTGATCGCCTGAGGTCAGGAGTTCAAGACCAGCCTGACCAATATGGTGAAACCCCGTCTTTACTAAAAATACAAAAATTAGCCAGCCATGGTGGCTGGCATCTGTAGTCTCAGCTACTCGGGAGGCTGAGGCAGGAGATGCTTGAACCTGGGAGGTGGAGGTTGACATAAAGCTGAGATCGCGCCACTGCACTCCAGCCTGGCAACAGAGCAAGACTCAGACTCAAAAAAAGAAAGAAAAAAAAAAAGAAAGAAAGAAAATGTGGTATATAAACACAGTAGAATATTCAGCCACAAAAAAGGAATGAAATTCTGTCTTTTGCAACAACATGAATGGAAACAGAGTTTATTAATATTAAGTGAAATAAGCTAGGCACAGAAAGATAAATATTGCATGTTCCCACTCATACATGAGAGCTAAAAAAGTTGATCTCATGGAAGTGGAGAATAGAATGATAGTCACTGGAGTCTACAAAGGATAGGGGAGAAGGGGTATGAAGAAAGGCAGGTTAATGGGTACAAAAATACAGTTAGAACATGTGGAAAAAGGGAAAAAATACAATTAAATAGAAGGAATAAGTCCTAGTGTTTGATAGCATAGTGGGGTGCCTATCATTATTAATAATTTCTCGTGTATTTCAAAATAACTGGAAGAGAACATTTGAAATGTTCTCAGCACAAAGAAATTTAAGTGTTTCAAGAAACGAATATCCCAATTACCCTGATTTGATCATTGTACATTGTATGTATATATCAAAGTAACACACATGTAGCCCATAAACATGTATAGTTATTATGTATCTATTTAAAAAAAGAAAAACATGGACTTTTGTAAAACTGCAAGGGCCGTTCAATACTATCTTGTCCTAGAAGCATAGATTGTGACAACTGGTCATTTAAAAAGCCAGGTCTCTCATTTCAAATATGGGAGAGCCAGAGCAATTTAGACATATTCCCAGTGTCAACAGTTAGTGCCCAAGACGCAGCTGCAGTGCAGGCCAGAACACGTGGCCCTATACCACCAGGATGCAAAGAACTTCACTGGCCAAAACTGAGTGTGTACATTTGTATCATCCAAAACCCAAAAACAACGTGCAGAAAAGAAACCTTACCATAAAGCCTCACTCCGGCAAAACAAAACGAAAGCAAACAAACACTTCTAAAAACAGAGGGAATGGTAAGAATTATCACAGCTCTCACCAGAACAAATTCTCCTGGCTTATTGATTATATTAATAACACCCATAGAGGAAATCTCTTTTCCCCAATTTATCTAACCACTTATTTCAGTGTCTCTTCTTCAGTTGCCATTTCTAATACAAGCCCAAATTACCCCAGCCTAAAACCCCCAGACCAGTCTCTGGATATAAACCTCTGCATAACAAGGCAGGACAGAGACCCTCCACAGAAGGAAGCCTGGTAGGGAGAGGGGAGGGATGCAGAAATGAAGTGAGCTTCCGCTTTACTGAGGCCCAAACCAGTGCATGGAAATCCATCACACAATAGCAAGTCCTCCAATAACTTCTACATAGAAGGTTTCAGAACACTTACTCAGATAAAGCCACCAAAACTCCATCACCAGCCAGAGAATGAGAGGTTCTTTGGACATTTTGATGGTTGACCGGACCCTGGAGTCTGTCTATCTATCCAAAGCCCAACCTCTTATATCCCAGTTAATGCTGACAGGGTGGGACTCTTTAGTTTCATTTCTCTTTTTGCCTCATAATCTTCCCTTTCTCCTGTCCTACATGGCTTCCCCCAGTTGGCGATGCATGATGAAATGTGCTGAGCCCTTTTCTCCTGGTGACTAGTGTTTGTGTGGAGGGATGGCGTGGACATACTTGTGCTTCTTTGTCCATGTGTATAGTGGATTTCCTATATGTGCACGAGCATCCGTGCATGTGCTGGTGCAAATATGCCTGTATAACCTGTGCACGTGCCACAGATGTCCCAACTGCTGTACAGCCTGTCACAAAATGCAATTGACTCTCCACACTGGCAAGTGTTACATGTAGATTCCTCGTGGGGCCAAAGCACAGTTAGACCGAAAGTTACCTCCATTCCCATTCTAGGTTCTCCCTCACCCTGTCCCCTGGCCTCCTTGCCCTAATAATGGAGAAAGAAAATTGAGGACAGGCACAGTGGTGCACATCTGTAATCCTAGCACTTAGGGAGGCCAAGATGGGAGGATTGCTTGAGGCCAGAAGTTTGAGACCAGCCTGATCAACATAGTGAAACCTCATCTTAATATTTTATTTTTAAAAATGTTTAATAAAAAATTTATTTTATTTTTTTTTTAAGTTTTAGGAAGACACTGAAGCCCAGAACTTCCTGATTCCAAAGATTATGGTTAATCACTACATTGTCCTTCGACCTGTGACCCTTTGGGTACTGTGTCCATATGACCAAGCCTACCTGTGGCTAGCTCCTACTTAGTACCAGAGAGAAAATATAAGAATGCACAAATATTCTAGATTTTTAAAAATCCTCAATTGATTGTAACCAGCCAACAAACCTCAAACATTCAACATTGCTTCTACTGAAGGTATCAGTGAAAAATCTAAATATCAGGTGAGGTTCTAGACCCAGAGAAGCCAGACTAACATGGGAAGGGATGAAAATAAGGGGGATTCAGAGTGAATCTTCCCACTGAATGCCCACAGAACCAAGGGATCCTTTCCCCATTCTATCCCCAGGAAACTGGAGGATTTAATCTCTGGATAAACTAAATGGTCCCAATAAAACATTTTCAGATATTTATATTTTTGAGTGTTCCCCAACAAAACCACTCAACCCTCCTTCAATAAGTTCATCAGTGCATAAGCCTCAGCCCTGCATGCAGAACTTTTAATTAGTTTTTAGTGTCACTTTCAGATATGAACAGATAACCAGGGATCATCAGACATTTGAGGAAAGCATTTAACATAAAAAAGAGACAAAAATAGCAGGGAGCACTAAAGAGAACTTCAAAAAAATTTTAAAGAGCCAATATTTTCTTAGAAAGATTTTACATTCATGAAAAAGAACACAGACATTATAAAAATGAAAAATCAGAGAATAGAAAAGAACTCTCAGAAATTAAAAATATTATACCTACCCCTGAATTTTATGGAAGGTTTGAAAAATAAAGTTAAGAAAATTTGTTAGAAAGTATAATCATCTACAAAGTCAAAGGACTAGGATTGTTTCAGAACATTAAAAAAGAAAACAGAGGAGAGGAAATTTCTAAAGAAATAATAAAAGAAAGACTCTCACAACTAAAGGACATGACTCTCAGTATTGAGAGGGTCAATCAAATGCTAAACTCAATGAATAGAAATATCCCCACAAAGCAAGACATTATCATGTAATATGAGAACATCAGACGTAAAGAAAAGATACGAAAAGACTCTAGAGATAAAGAACAACACATTGCACTGAATGGATTCGGAATTAGAATGGCATTGGTGTTCCAAACAATAAAGCTAGAAAATAATGCATGAATGCCTTCAAAATTCAGAGGGGAGGCCAAGTGTGGTGGCTCACATCTGTAATCTCAGCACTTTGAGAGGCCAAGGTAAGTGGATCACTTGAGTCCAGGAGTTCCAGGTTAGCCTGGACAACATGGTAAAAACCTGTATCAGCTGGACACGGCGGCTCACACCTGTAATCCCAGCACTTCGGGAGACCAAGACGGGCAGATCATTTGGGTCAGGAGTTCAAGACAAGCCCGGGCAACATGGCAAAACCCAGTCTCTACTAAAAATACAAAAATTAGCTGGGTATGGTGGTACACGCCTGTAATCCTAGCTACTTGGGAGGCTGAGGCAGGAGAATCACTTGAACCCAGGAGGCAGATGTTGCAGTGAGCTATCGCGCCTAGCCTGGACAAGCTCATCCAGCCGGGTGGTAGCCTGTAATCAGACTGGCCAGACGGCATCCATAGAGATGGACACGAAAGAAAAAAAAAAAAAAAAAAAAAAATAGAAAACTAAAAAAAACAATAAAATAAGAAGAAAGTTAAAAAAAAAAAAAAAAAAGAAAAAGAAAAGAAAATCTGTATCTGCCAAAAATATAAAAAATTGGCCGGGTGTGGCAATGCGCACCTGTGGTCCCAACTACTCCAGAGGCTGAGGTGGGAGGATTGCCTGAGCCCGGGAGGTGGAGGTTATAGTGAGCTGAGATTGTGCCACTGCACTCCAGCCTGGGAAACAGACAGAGACCCTGTGTCTGAAAAAAAAAAAAAAAGAAAAGAAAATCCAGAGGAGAAATTTATTTTCAACCTAGAATCCTACCCCCAGACAATCTATTTCTCAAATGTAAGAGCATAATAAAGGCCTTTTTGGACACAGATTCAAAATTTACTTACCATACTTCCTTTCCTAGGAAGTTATGGAAGGGAAATCTGTAGCAAAACAGGAGAAATAACCAGGAAAGAGAAAGTAATGAGGTCCAGAAAACACATCTAACTCCAGGGAAGAAAAATTTCACAAAGAAAACTGCAGAACAGTCCTAGAGGGGAACTGTTTCACTGCATCACAAACCACCCCAAAACCTAGTGCCTGAACAATATACTTTTCATGATTCCCTGGGATGACAGTGTTCAGCTGGGTAGCTCTCACTTGGTGACAGTGGCTAGAGCTGCAGCTATCTCAAAACTAGATTGGACTATTTGTCCAAGATAACTTTCTCACTCACATGACTGATCATCCAAAATGACATTTTTAGCTAGACTCACATGTCTAGCAAATTAATAGAATGGCTAGAAGAGGTAGGGACTGGAATGACAACTCTCTCTCTCCACATGACCTTTCTACGTGGGAACTTGGGCTTCCTTATAGTATGGCAGTCTCAGAGTAGTTGGATGTTTTACATAGCATCTGGCTTTCTCAAAAATTAGTATTCCAACGTGCTCAGGAATAATCCACAAAGGTTCTCATGACCCAGCCTTAGGTGACATTCAGTATCATTTTTACAGTATTCTATTGGTCAAAAGGCAAATTATAAAGCCATCCCAGAGAATTCAAGTGGAAGGAACAATACAAGGATGTGAATACGAGGACGTGTGGTTCATTGGGGTGGTAGGGGAAGCATCTTTGGAGAATAATTACTTTAGTAACCAACTCAGGCTGGGGCAGAAGAGAAGAGGAATAAGCCTTGGGGTGGTGGTAGTGAGTGTTACGAATGAGCTCATGTACTTAGGTATTTTGAAAATAAATTTGATAGGTATTTGGCAGATATGATGGAATACTTGGGATGATTTTTTTTTTTTTTTTTTTTAGACAGAGTCTTGCTCTGTTGCCCAAACTGGAGGGCACTGGTATGAACATGGCTTAGTAAAGCCTCAACCTCTGGGCTCAAGCAATCCTGTTGCCCCAGCCTCCCAAGTAGCTGGAACCACAGGTGTATGCCTCCACACCCAGCTAATTTGTTTAAATTTTTGTTTTGCCACGTTGCCCAGACTGGTCTCAAACTCCTGGTCTCAAGTGATCCTCCCATCTCAGTCTCCCAAAGTGCCGGGATTACAGGCATGAGCCACTGCTCACAGCCGTGGGATGAATTTTTGATGGATACTTGGGAAATTAAGAAAAAAAGACAATGAAGGCCGGACGTGGTGGCTCACGCCTGTAATCCCAGCACTTTGGGAGGCCGAGGCAGATGGATCACGTGAGGTCAGGCATTCCAGACCAGCCTGGCCAACATGGAGAAACCCCATCTCTACTAAAAATACAAAAAGTTGCTGAGTGCAGTGGCGCATGCCTGTAATCCCAGCTACTCGGGAGGCTGAGGTGGGAGAATCCCTTGAACCGGGAAGGTGGTGGTTGCAGTGAACCAAGATCGCACTACTGCACTCCTACTTGGGCGACAGAGCAAGACTTCATCTCAAAATAACAAACAAACAAAAAATGCGATAATTATTACAACCAGGAAAGATAAAATTTTGTACGAGAAAAGAAACGTAATTATGGTGCACTTGCTAAGTGTGAAAGATATTAACAGTTACATACTGATAATAATGTAAAATCTGGCTACTGGCTTAATACACAACTTTTATTTTTATTTATTTATTTTTTTTGACACAGGGTCTTGCTCTGTCGCCCAGGCTGGAGTGCAGTGGTGCAATCTTGGCTCACTTCATGGAATACTTGGGACGAACCTCTGCCTCCAGGGTGCAAGCAATTCACGCCCCAGCCTCCCAAGTACCTGGGATTACAGGCACGCACCACAACACCAGGCTAATTTTTGTATTTTTAGTAGAGATGAGATTTCGCCATGTTGGCCAGGCAGGTCTTGAATTCCTAGCCTCAAGTGGTCTGCCTGCCTCAGCCTCCCAAAGTGCTGGGATTACAGGCATGAGCCACTGTGCCCCGACTTAACACATAATTTTGATTTGACCACACTGGAAAAATTAGTAGAGAGGAAGTGGGGTTGGGGTGTAAGAAAGCTAAAGTCTATTCATCTTGACAGGGAGTCAACAAATAGTGTCTCAAATTGGTCAGTCAGACAATACCAGCATAAACACACTATGAGTCATATGAAGGTAAAAAACAGAAGAACAAGCTCAAAAGAGTTTAATGCAAAGAAGTGGGAAATAAATTCACTATTTTTTTTTAGTTATAAACCTTTTACAACTTGACTATTAAAAACGCATATATTGAGGCCGGGTGTGGTGGCTCACGCCTGTAATCCCAGTACTTTGGGAGGCCGAGGTGGGCAGATCACTTGGGGTCAGGAGTTCAAGACCAGCCTGGCCAACATGGCAAAACCCTGTCTCTATTAAAAATACAAAAATTAGCTGGGTGTGGTGGTGTGAGCCTGTAGTCCCAGCTACTTGGGAAACTGAGACAGGAGGACCTCTTGAACCTGGGAGATAGAGGTTGCAGTGAGCTGAGATCACACCACTGCACTCCAGCCTGGGCAACAGAGGGAGACCATCTCAAAATTAAATAAATAAATAAATAATAAAATAAAATAAAATGGTTATACTGAGCATACCCAGCACCCACATCTTAATTCCTAATTCCATCCTCCCATGAAAAGAACCAGGGCATCTTGGAGAAATGGCTGATCCTAATACTGAGGCAAAAAACATACAGAATGAGCCTGGAGCATCCTGCAATGTCAGTAAGTAAAAACAAGAAAGTGCTAAAAATAATAATAAATAAATAAATAAATAAAATTTTAAAAAATAAAAGAAAATCCCACATTGATGGGATTATTTTAAAGGGCAAAGGAGATTATTAAAAGAGTTTCCAAAAAGCTTTGGCTCCATCTCAAAGCTGGAACAAACTGAGCAACAAAATAAATAAAAGAATACTGGATTATAATCCAAAGTATAATATAAGTATCTGAGTCCATACTGATGGAAGTAAATTATTGAATTCATAAATAAGTAGGGGAGAATAGACAAATCTTCTGCCCAGAAGCATTATAAATAATTTATGTAGATACTCCCTACTCAAGGAGATAAAGCCTAACTCCCCACTCTTTCAGTGTGGGTTTGACCTAGTGACTTCTTTCAAAAAAAAATACAGTGGGGAATGGCAGGGCAGGAGTAGCTTTACAGTAGAGAAAACTGACAAATACTATCTCAGGCAGGCAATCAAGGTCAACATCAACGATAAGTTGAGTTGATAATATGTACCCTTGACATGATGTAATATAAGGGTCACTTTACCTCTGCGGACTTCCTCCTCAAAACCCATGACATTGAATCATGAAGAAAACAGGCAAAGTGAGGTGGCTCACACCTGTAATCCCAGCACTTTGGGAGGCTGAGGTGGGAGGATCACTTGAGCTCAGGAGTTCAAGACCAGCTTGGCCAACATAGTGAGACACTGTCTCTATTTTTAAAAGTTAAATTAAATAAATAAATAATAAACGTAATGTAGTATCCCAGGTGGGATCTTGGAACAGATAAAGGCCATTAGCTAAGAAGCAAGAAAATATAAATAAAGTATTGATTTTAGTTAATAACAGTGTACCAATCTTGATTCATTTATTTGATTTGATTTGATCATTATCATTATTTTTTGAGACAGAGTCTCACTCTGTTGCCCAGGCTGGAGTGCAGTGACATGATCTCGGCTCACTGCAACCTCTGCCTCCTGGGTTTAAGCAATTCTTCTGCCTCAGCCTCCTGAGTAGCTGGGATTACAGGCACCTACCACCACGCCCAGCTAATTGTATTTTTAGTAGAGACGGGGTTTCACCACATTGGCCAGGCTGGTCTTGAACTCCTGACCTCAAGCGATCCACCTATCTTGGCCTCTCAAAGTGCTAGAATTACAGGCATGAGCCACCTCGCTGGGCCAGTTCATTAATTTTAATAAATATATCACACTAATATAAGATGTTAATAATAGGGGAAACAGGTGTATGGTACATGAGAACTCTGTTGTATTATCTTTGATTTTTCTGTAAATCTAAAACTACTTTAAAATAAAATTCATTTTTAAAAATGCACATATTCCTTTGTTTTAGGAATGTAAATGTTAAAAGTAATCTAGTATCTGGAGGAGTCAAACACTGGAAAAAGAGACTGAACTTGGTTGTCTCTTCCTAAGTTAGAGTCCA